ATGTTGCTGACCGCTATATCAAGACCTTCATGGAGCGCAAGAAGAAGCCAGCAGTCCCCGTGACACAGCTGAGTGTGGTAAGAACAGATGTCCATTGGCCTATTGGTCATGTGGGTGGTTGGCGGGTGCTCTGGTGTGGTTTGCTCTTTGTTTCCTATCAAACATCTATCGTCTTTATCTCCCCTCCTTCTTTTTTTATGTTTGTTACTCCCTTGTAGCACCTCTAATCTTCTGGCGCTCATACGACCTTATGCAGTTGCGAGCGCCGTAAAACCTCTACTAAAACAGAAACAGACGGCCTATTGGTCAGATGGACCCGATCAGATTGGGACGGAAAATGGCCATTGCCGGAGCACACTTTATCGAGCGAACCACTGCTCATGGGTGGTTGGTGGGTTATCTAATGTGGTTTGCTCCTTCTTTCCCATCGGTCAGACTTTTTTTGCCCTCATCTCTCCCTCTTCTTTACTTGGCATGTTCCTCTCAAGTAACACCTCGAATCTTCGACACTTATAATATGTCCCATTTGTGTTGGAAGGGAGGAAAATCCCTTACTAAAGCTAAAAAGCCCTCAGCTGTTCTTCATGAAATGGTCTCTTTTAAGCACAAGGGGGCTATCCCGAAAAATGCTGTTTTGAGAAAATCGAAAGTAAAGTTTCTGCCCCTTGTTCAGTTTCTTTAGAAGACAATGAGAGTTTTCTCTGTAACCAAACAAACATACCCACCAATGAAACCAAACTTTTCTTATATGTAGGGCAATGCCCACTTTTGGTGTAGGTCAAGATTTCTGGAAATCTCCGAAATCTGGGGTAGCCCGCTTGTCCTTAAAAGCGACCAGATTTGCCCTGGACATGCATATATAAGGGACGTCATGCGACACGTAGTAGCCTTCTGAATAACTGTTGGCCACGATTCGTGAGGCAGCATGGTGAAATCAGGCGCTCGTCAAAATACAGACTATCGGAGAAACAGATATTTTTCAGCCAGTTTGGAAATTTTTATGGAATTTTTATTTTTTGTGTCAACCTCTTTTATGTCCATATAAAAACACATTTCTATGTGAATTTTACTGAAAAGCATTGATTAAAGACTCATAATATGTCATTTTTCTGTTTCCAAGGACTCTTTAGTTATTCAAGTTATCAAACTTTGGCGACCATTTTCTCGCTAATTTCACCAATGAATCCAGGGGACCTCACTCTCTTCAATTGCAAATATCTTCAGTTCTTTTCAAGATAGATGGAGATTTATTTCACTGGAAGTAAGAAAGGCAAATAAATCAGCTTTCAAGTGATACCAATAACTCCACACGGGCCCAAAAATTGACAAGCGCCTGATTCCACCGCGTCATGACACATTTGACCACGTGTACTCAACTGTGACGTAGAAAGATGAGACATGTTTGATTGTGGAGGATTTGATCACAATATGCCACAACAGTAGCTCCCCCCCCAACCCCCCCCCCCCCCCCCCCCCCCCCGGGCGGTGCCACTGACTGAAGTGTCTTTAGGCTATTCCCAAAGGGGGGGACATTTCTCGTCATTATGCGCGGTAGAATTGTAAATGGGCTGATTCAACAATGTCATGCTCATAACTGTGCCTGAACTACAACAGGGAACTGCTGCCTTTTCTTTCCAAATCCTTACTATTGTCATTTTCTTCTTCTTTTGTATGTTTGTCACTCTCTTGTGACCCGCTATTTCCAGGGTGCCTTGAAAGTCGAAACAGACTTTGTGCTGTTGAAGTTGAAGCTAGAGAGGTGAGCAGAGTAAGCCCTATTTCCTGTAAAGACTCCTCTGTTGACATCCACCCCTTGACGCTCATATGACCTTATGCAGTTGTGAGCGCCGTAAAACCTCTACTATTAAAAACCCCCAAAAAACAGTAGCTTGTGGCCCTCCAAGAAGAACATCTGTCTGCCTGCCCTCTGACTCTAGTGTATCAAACCACTTCAAATAGGGGTTAGGTGAGACAGTACGCGCTGTGCCGCAGGTATAGGTCTACACACACGTGCGGATGACACGCCGCCACTCACTGGTGGGTTTCTTATTCTGTTTACTTACTCGTTCCTCTCTGGTAACTGATGGATCCTACTTCTTTTCCTTCCCTCTATTTTTACTGCCTCTGTCCTGCTTTTTCCATGCACTATTTTTTTTTTTAAATAGAGGGTTTTACGGTCAGAAAACCAGCCCTCTACCTTCTTTGACCTCATCATCACTTTCAAAATGCCTTCCTTTTAAATCCTGTTTCGATTTGGCAAATAAAATAAAGTCAGACGTGGTGAAATCTGGAGAATAGGGTGGATGTGGCAAAATTTCATAGCCACTTTCTCAAGCAGTTTCTGCAGCTTTTTTAAAAGTGTGTGCTGGCGCGTTGTCATGAAGCAGCAAAATGCCTTTTTGGATTTTTCTTCTGCGTTTTTCTTTTATAGCCTCTTGTAATTTTTTAAGTTGGTTAGAATAATGATCTCCGGTGATCGTATGTCCATTTTCAAGATAGTCTGTCATAATCACTCCTGCTTGGTCCCCAAAAAACTGATAGCATCATCACTTTTCCACTTTGCCTTCTTTGGTGTTGGAGACAAGGGCGATTTCCACTGCATTGATGCAGATTTTGACTCAGGATCATAGTGGTGGACCCATGTTTCATCCATGGTTACAAGTCTTTCAAAAAATTTAGTTTCATAGTTTCATCCTTTTCATACAGACCAAGCAGTTCTTGACAACAAATCACACGTCGCATTTTTTGAGGAGGAGTCAACAAACGTGGAACCCATCCCGCAGAAACCTTTGTCATTTTTTCAAATGTTCGTTAAAGATTCGTTCCACTGATTCAATGCTAAACCAAGTTTCTTTGCTCAAACGTTCGACTGTCACTCGCCTATCAGACAACACAAGTTTCTTGATTTTCAACCCATTCTCATCTGTTGTTGCAGTCACGGGGCGACCATCACGGTGGTCATCTTCAATGTCCATGATTCCACATTTGAAATTTTTACTCCAAAATTTTATCACAGCTTAGGATGGGCAATCAGTCCCATAGATACGTCATGCATCTCCATGAAAATATCCTGTAGTGGCTTGCCTTGCAAGAACAAAAACTTCTTGCCCATCTTCGATTCCTAACACTTTGTATTGCTAGATCTAGTGTGCCTCCTAATATGGGCCTCAAAGCCAAGAGGATGGGCGAGGGTTAGCCTATGGTAAGGATGAGAGGGGGTGGGTGGGAACGCGATGCAGGCTGTGAGAAACTGGATGAACTCTGGATGGGTAGGTCTAGATTGAAACCTTCATATTTTTTTATTTTCTTTTCTTCCCCTGATCAGAAAATCCAAGCTCCCGCCTTTACTTTATGTAGATTTAGGCCTAGATGTGAGAGGGGAGGTTTCCACACGAGAAGTGTTTCGGAAAATTTTTTTTAAAAATACAGAAATGACAGTCAGAACACAGCTCAAACACGCGCACATCAGGGGGAACAACTGTTTTAATTTCTGGTATTGGTACATCGTGTAAAATAATAACTTGTCTCCTTTCTTTACTTTAGCCTCAGTCATGTTCAACGAGAGGTCGGATCCAACGAGGACAACAAGCCGGTCCCGGCAACCTCGTTGAATTCGACACCCACTGTGCTGCCCTGTGCTCATTTTTCTCCGTTTTTATGTTGAAACTGGAGAACAGCCTACCCCCATTCACTTACTACAGTGCGCTGGTGTTAAAACCAGTTATCGGAAATTCCCCAATGTGTACATGCATTCTAGGAAGATGATCAATGGCTTTCATTCCAAATTTCAGCTTTCTACCTTTATTCCTTCATCATGGTGAGGTAAAATAACGTTTATGGTATGCCCCTAGTAGTTTTGTAGTTAGTAAGAATGAGGCAGTCACTGGATCATCAGTGATTGGTTGGAAGGTGCTCTGGTGTGGTTTGCTCCTTCTTTCCTACCAAACATCTATCGTCCTTATCTCCCCTTCATCTTTTTTATGTTTGTTACTCTCTTGTAACACCTCTAATCTTCTGGCTCTCATATGACCGTATGCAGTTGCGAGTACCGTAATACCTCTACTAAAACCTCTACTAATACCCCCCGCGGCAGTGCCACTGACTGTAGTGTCTTTAGGCCATTCCCAAAGGGGGGACATTTCTTGTTCAAGCACAGTAGAATTGTAAATGGGCTGATTCATGTCACACTCATAACTGTACCTGATTTACAGCAGGGAACTGCTGCTTTTTCTTTCCTAATCCTCACTGTTGTCATTTTCCTCTACTTCTTTTGTATGTTTGTCACTCTCTTGTGACCCGCTATTTCCGGGGTGGTCGAAGCAGACCTTGTGCTGTTGAAGCTAGAGAGGTGAGCAGAATAAGTCTGATTCCATGTAAAGACTTCTCTGTTGACACCCACCCCTAGGCGCTCATATGACCGTATGCGGTTGTGAGCGCCTTAAAACCCTCTACTTAAAAAAACAACAACAAAAACCTCTACTAAACCTAAACCTAACCCAGATCATCAATGCGGTGTTGTTGTTGTGTTGTTCAGATGGAGGAGGAGCTGAGGGACAGCTTGCTTCCCGTCAAAGCGCTGTTCTCCCCCGTGGCTGTCCCCGCTGTCCTTGTGGAGGAAGACGAGCCTCACGACTCCTACATGTACTACTGGGATGAGGAAGATTAACTCCTACATGTACTACTGGGATGAGGAAGATTAACTCTTACATGTATTACTGGGATGAGGAAGATTAACTCCTACATGTACTACTGGGATGAGGAAGATTAACTCTTACGTATGCTGCTGGAATGAGGAAGATTAACTCTTACTTGTGCTACTGGAATGAGGAAGATTAACTCTTACTTGTGCTACTGGGGTGAGGAAGATTAACCCTACGTGTACTACTGGGAAGAGAAGATTAAACTGGATGTACTGCTGGGATTAGAAAGATAATCCACTGGCTTTTTGCATTGTTGAGGTGGTAGAGTGAGAGAGCATGAAGACTTGACAGAGACAGAATTTGAACGTGTGACTGTGTGTCTGAGCTGTGTGTGTGTATGTCAGTGTGTAAGGGTGTGTTTGCGTGTGTGACTGTGCATTTGTGTGTGTGTGTGTGTGTCTGTAGGTGTGTCTGTGTTATTGTGTGTATTTGTGTGTGTGTGTGTGTGTGTCTGTCTGTCTG